TGTTTCTAAAAATGCAGATGAATCCTTACAAAGTACCAAATTAAATCACTAGCATATTATTATTAGATTGTTGCAAAATGGGTAAAACTAAAGAGATGGGGGACACAAAATGGGAAAATCTCTATCCGAGGCCCAACACAATGAGTGCCACAGTTACCTCAGACACAGAGGCATCTACAGCTGTCCAGTCCAGTCTGTGACTCCAACTCTCCCCAGGAGGAGTCCCATCCTCAAATGGGGACTTGGTGGTGGAAAGACAGGGAGCCCACTAGCACCCACTGTGGAAAAACAGCAGGCTGGAGGTCCTGCTCACCCCATGCTCTGCTGATGTGGAGGATCTTCTCAAATACATGAGCACATTCTGGCTAGCCAGCTTCTGAGGAATTATCTTTTCTCTCCTTAGGGAGGAGGGACTCAAATATGAGGAACTTGCCTGTTCAGGATGGAAGGGCTGGAACAGAGGCTCACAAGTGGAGAGGTCAGGGAAGGAGAGGTCATTTCTCAGACTCTGGAGACAGTCATGACCAGACACCCACACATGGGCCCAGAGCACAGATATGTGAGTCTCTGCCTTAGTGCCCAGTTCTTGATGGGAAAGGGCTGGAAAGCAGCTGCATGTCCCCTTGCCAGTCTGAGTCCTCTGTCCTGAAGCAATTCTGGGGACTCAATCTGCTCTCTGAGGCAGCAATTCCAATTGGGCCAATTTCCTGGCCCAATCCATCCCAGGTATAAACATAACAGTGAGTTCCAATATGCCTCATTAAACCATTCTCTCTACATCCCTAAAAATGGCTTCTCAGCTGTAGCTGAGCTGCCTCCAGGCACTGGTCCTGCGGAGCCGGCACTGAGTGGAGCTGGGCAGCAGGAAAAAGGCAGGAGGACCAAGACTGTCAGGTTCGAGTTCTGACAGGGACTCTCCAGGGACATGCTGACTCTTTGCAGCCTGGAGTCCTCCTCAGTAAAGAAGTTCATGGGAGAGTTGTAACACAGTTACAGATGGAAAGGAGAGATCCACACATTCTGGAGTCCTGAAGATGCAGGAAGAGCTGTGTGGTGGTGACAGCAAAATGGCTGGAGCTAGAATTCACTGGAAGCTCAGCTGTGACTTTGGATGCACACCTGGTAGGGTGGCTCATGTCTGCATGGTTTAAAGAACAGCACCAGCTGGGATAAACGGGGTCCATGTGTGTTAAACAAACTTGTGCATCATCACCATCTGGGGCACTCAGTTACAGCCAACCCAGCCCACAGATGCCCAGGCCAAAACTAATGTCCCAGCTTTGTTCATTCATTTCAGTCCAGGGCTAGGCACTAGACACCTCAAGATGACCAGGACCTATGTGTTGATCTAGATGTGCCCACACGGCCATCAAGCCCACCCGGCCAACCATGGGCTGTTCTGCATAAAGGTTAGTCTCCTCCCGGGGCTGCCCCTGAGAAAGGAGGCAGAAGGCTACGGATGCCACGTGACTACTGGTAGCACATGAATAAGGCAGAGGGGCCAGGGCAGGGAGGTAGGCAGAAAGAGGTCAAGGACACGTGGACCACACCTACTCAGTGGCCTCAGAGCAGAAAACCAGCAAGCAGGGGAGGGAAATCTAAGGACACAGCCTCCTCCAAGAGGCAAAGACCTAACTCCAATGCAGACCAAGCCCCATGGCACCCTCTAGGGTCACCTATCCCCCACCCCCAACCTTCTGCAACAGCTCCTGGAACTGGCCTGGCCACCAGCTCTGGTGTCAGGGCTAGGGGACAAGGCACTGAGATCCTGCCTGGCACTCTGGGCCCCATCGGTCTCTGACTTGGATGATGTGGCCACTACACTGGGAAACAGATACTGGACAGAGGGCTGCAGAGCGTATAGTGAATGTGATGACCACAGCCTGAAGCTACAGCCTCAGAGGAAGCCACTCCTGTGAGTGCAGGGGTAACCTTTTTCCAGGAGCCTGACCAACAAGCCCCCAAGAAACCAAGTTCTCCAGTGGCTGGGGCCTTCCAGCCCCATGCCTAGTCCTGGCCTGATGGACCAGAATACACTAACAGTTGTAGAACCAGACATTCCTTTAATAACTTGCTGGAAGGCAGCTGGCCACACTGGCAGCCTGTGATAAGACCAAAACATAGGCAGGGAACGCATATGGATGAGGACCAGAGTCCTCAACAAGAAGAGCTCATACTGCTGAGTTCCTGGCTCTCGACTCCGCACTAGGAATGACAGAAACCAGCACAGCACCATGCAGAGCTCACAACTGGCCTTCGCCAGTGTCGTGGGAGCCCTGTGCCAGCCCACTGACCTGCACATTCCGAGATTGGCCTCTAGAACCCGTCCTTCTGGGACAGAGCAGGGGTCCCTGCTGCACAGCTGAAAGGCAAGCGACGCAGGCTACACAGCGCTGTCACGGGGCGGCACAGAGTGCTGCCTTCTGCCTACCCTCGGCGGGTGTCACCGCCCTGCGCCTACAGACCCCCACAGACTTTGGAGCCAGAACAGAAGTAGCAGGAACCATTAAGGGAAGGAGGGACTCCAAAAAAGCTATAGTTTAATTACACAGTTGTGAAGGGTCCAAGCCCTCTTAAATCAGAAAGTAAGACATCTCCCTCCCTGAAGCATATAAAACATTAGAGAACTTTTATAGTTACAATAAAAAAAAAAAAAAAACCTTTCTCCAGTCACTGCTGGCCATATCTAACTAGGGTGAGGTATGTTAATGACAGAACTATGGCTTGGGACATCTTTCCTTGTGATAGTAATTGCAGTTAAAGAAAAAAAACCATGAACTGTACTTATGCTTATTAATTAGCATGGCTTTGCTAATTAATAACAGAAAGTCAAACTGTCTTTGTCCTGTCATCTGCAATTAGCTGAAATGTTTAACTTTCTCTCTCTCCTTGCCTAAAGAGTGAGCCAACTTCGGGACAGGGAGAGCAGGAGAGGCAACTACAGCTGGGAGAGATGGCCACGGCTGGATGGGAGGTGGGCAGGACCCAGGCCTGGGACTCGCGCAGAAGCCAGCTGCCCCATACTTTGCAGAGGGAAAGGGGCCAGTTTAGGTTGGAAGAGAAAGCCACCCAGCACCCCAGATTTCTAGGGCCAGAGGGAGCCACCAAAGTGGCTAGAAGGGCCACAGAGGCAGACCTGCAGCTGCAGACCTCCTCTTCCCTAAGGGACCCCAGACTAGCAGTCTGCTCTTTCCAGAACCACAGGAGCAGGTGGAGGCTTAGTTCCTCTGCTTCTGGGTTCCAAGCACCAAAGTGCAGAGTGCGGCTTGGGAAGGCGCAGGCAGTGTGCACTCCACTCATTTCCAGGGTCATAGGTTAGGCATGCTCAGCACAATACATCTCTAATTCCTCCTGTCTGAGTACATTATGGAAATAAGGCCCTTGGGCACGTTTTCAATTCAGGCCAATGCAGAGGACGTGATGCGTGTTGACAGACAGAACATCGGGGTATCCCTAGGGTGTCTTCAGATGAACGCGCCAGTTTTCCAAGAAAACCCCCAGCCCACTCTGGCTCCTCAACAAGCAATATGCTCCTTGTTTTACAGAGCCTGGAAAGCTCAGGAGTAAGACACTCTGTGTCAGGAAGCACTGACGCTCTGTGGATCTGGAAACAACAGGTAAGCTTGCCGCTGCCCCAGGTGTTGCAAACTAAAGTGGTGGCACACGCGTCTACAGACTTCAAACCAACAGAGCTCTTCCAGGTGCACAGGCTCCCGGCACACGCATACCACACCTGAGTTTTACCTGGGGTACTCCAGGCATTGTGGGCAAGGGTAGAGGGTTCTACTGAGTGTCGGGTGCCCGGTAAACAACGCAAGGATGATCCCACTGAGCAGTAATCAATAATGCAGAGGCCTCTTCCCCTTGGGAGAGACACCCATTGGTGTCCGACTCCGGATGGCTAGCATGCCAGGCACACATGTGAAACATTCATACTGCACTCTCACCCATAGCCTGCTCCTCCTGCCTCTGGCAAAGTCGTCTGGAACTTACAAGCCCTTGTCCTGCCTGGTCTGGTTAAACCCCATTGACCACCTGTTCTGTACCCACAGGAGGCACCTGGGCTGCAGACACCAATTACTGCCCAACCGTGCCTTCAGCTCACAACCAGGAAGCTCAATTGGGCACTTGGGCAGTACCAGGTAGCTATTAGCATGCCCCAAGGATCTGCTTTCTACTGTTAAAAAACAGGTCAAAATAGGAGCCACTCATGCTAAGCTTCGTGTTACCAAACTCCATCTTTTTTACTTCAAGTTCTCCAAGAAATGTAATCTTAAAGCCAGATCAGCAATAGTTAACCCTGAGGTCCCCTAAGGAAGCTGCCCTTTTGCCTAGTATAAATTTCTTATTCCTGCTCCCTTCTGCTTATAAAGAAAGTCTTTCATTCTATACAACTCCTCAGAGCTCCTTTTTAGCTACTAGATTGGATATTGCTAGATTTGAAGGGATTTTTGCTCAAATGACTCTGAATGGTTCATGTGCCTCAGTTTATCTTAAAAGGTTCTCTTCAGGTGGAGAACCTGGAGCTCTCTCTCCAGTTCCCAGCCTGACTGCACAGCCTCACCCTCCAGCCGCCTTCTTTGCCTAGAAGTGTCCCCGCCAGCAACCATTAGCTCCCTCCAACACCACACTCTTCCTGTCTTTACTGGAACATTCCAGCAGAATAAAAGCAAACTCTCATCTAACATCATGATGAGCAAAGGCCACTTCTCTGCCCACCACAGCACCAACTAACACTACATTATGGAAAACCTCCCTCTTTGGGCTTAGTCAGGACCCTGCGTGCTGGAAAACCACTCTCACCGGCGTCCTCTGTGGGCTTAAGAGGTCCCTTTCTATTTCCACTGCATTTCTGATTAGGACGACCATGACAATCAAGGGACCTGCATGTTTGCACCTACAATAAGTCCTGATGGAGACAGGACCTTCTGCAGCTGAGCTCAGGTATCCCAATGCCGGCATCCTCTAGCTGCAAAGGCCACAAAGCCACAGGGACTTACCATGTCTGCTCTTTGCTTCTGTGCTCCCAGGTCCTCCAAGGCCTGTGACAGCTGAGCCTTTAAAACAAGAGAAAGCTGGTCAGTGTGTCTTTCCCCCTGGGACCCAAAGGACCATGCCTAGCCCTGCCACTCCGCTCCTGCTGAGCAGGGGGTCCCTGGGATCTGAAAACAGGAGCTGTCCCAGCAGTGGCTTGTGGGAAAGGGGTCCATCTTCCCACAGCCCGGAGGTTACTGAGGAGCAGCCAAAACCACACCAGAGTGCAAAGTGCCATCCCCAAACTCACCTCTTGGAAGCAACTATGGTGTTAGGTGTAAAGTGAGTGAGAATCAGGGTGGGTTTTAGTGCCTTGCCTGGGTGGCAGAGGCGCGACTGCTGTCAATTCCCCATGCTTGCACACTCACAGTGTGCGCGTGTGTGTTACACCAAAATGAAAATTCAGGCTTAACTATATGTCACATATATTTTTAAATATATACACAGATACTTCACATACACACTCACTCTCTCTAGTATTCTGGAAGGCAGAATTGGGACACCCATTTCTGCTACCTAAAAGGACATTCCTAAAGTCAAAAAGCCAACCATCATTGCCAGTGATGAGCCTGTGACATCGCTTCCAACAGGAAGCATGAATGGAGGTCCATGGCAGCCCCCCTGAGCGCGTCCTGAGATGCTGAGCATATGAGCGGGTCCTGGCTGGGGAGTCCAAGCCAGCAGGTGAAGGGTGTGGGACCCAGGGGATGTGGACATGACAGGAGAGGAGAAAGGCAGTGGGCTTCCCCATGGGGTTCAGAGCAAACCCACACCCCACCCCTGAGAAGGGGAGAACACACAGCTCCTGAGACCAGGAAGGAAGGACGCCTGGAGAACACAAGTGCATCTCCCCACACCTATCCTTCAGCACATACACCAGGATCAAGAACCACAGGGACATCAACACCTCCTCAGCGTGGACATGGCCAGGACTCCACGGCCCCAAGCAACCCATGGAGCTCGTACACCTGGAGCGGCACAGGGAGAGCTTCTCGGGGGAAGAATTCCCATGAGTCTAGAAACACTGGAACATCTGCTTTTGGACAAGACAGAACAACATGCTCATTGTAAAGCTGAGGGATTTTATTGTGTATAAATCATATTTCAATAAAGTTGATCATAAAAAATTTATATTTACAGATAAGAAAAAATGATGCTCTGAGAATGGGCCCTAGCCTCTTCCCATCACACACACAGAGCAACACTAGGAGAGGCAGTGCTGGGCCTGGGGAGCTGGTATTCTGGCTGGGGCAAGACTGCTCCCATCAAAGTCAGGGCAAAATGAAACCACACACACGCACACACACATACACACACACCACACAATAATTAAATTGGGAAAACTAACCAATCCACTTACCCAAATGTTTCAAATGAGCCTCCTGTACCAAAGCTGAAGGCCTTTATGGACTGTTCAGTCTTTTCAAAATAAAATCAAAGATTCTTCACTTTTTAAATCAAGTTAGATTTCTTCCTTGAGAATTTTGTGAAAGTTATATAATCTCTACCCAGAAAAACAGCCACAGTAGGAAACTGGGCCCACAACTGAGGCAGAGGCTGGTGAGGTTCACATGTTTATGTGGGGGGTTGATACATGTTGATACTTGGGTCCTAGGCACTGTCACTATTCTGCCACTTCTTACCACGCTCATTAGGGGTCCCTAGTGAAATGTACTCAGGCTCTGGGTTTCTAGCATAGGGTTTAAGCACCGAACAAAGCAGTGGGCCAGAGTTCTGGAATAGCCACTGGCTGGTGCTGCTGCTGCCTGTCTTACTGTGGGTGTGGCCCCAAGTGGGGGTGTGGTGTGACCTCCAGTCTGACCATCTGCTGACTGCTGCTTGGCTTTACCTGCCACTTCTGTGCATCGTCCCAGTGGGCCTAAGTGGTCTAAGCAAACGCAAAGTGATCTGGTTCTGTTGGGCCATCTGGGTCCTCGTCCCTTGGTGATATTACTAATGAACTGAGCAAGCTAGGTTTCCCACTCAAATTCAAATTCTACAGGTAGTATTTCCTTAAAAACCATCTAGAGACCAAGCAAAACCAGATTCACCACAGCAAGGAGCCTCATTCTGGCTCCTCGAGGTGGAGTGGGATGACCCTGAGGGGGTCTGGCTTCAGGTTTTTAAGGAAATTCTACCTGTAAAGGTATCTGAATTTGAGCACATTTCTAACCTTGCCAGACCAGAAGGTGATGGGACAGGATTCCTGGCTACAGCGTGAGGCTCCGTTCGGTCACAGCAGACCTCCTTTCCTGCTTTCATTGACATGACCCTGCACCAGGGAACCATACCGTCTTCCCTGGAGCAAGCTGGGTTTAACTGTGACCCCCCAAAGATAGGTGATCTTAATTCTAGTACCTATGAAGGGGACCATGTTGGGAAATGGGACCTTTGTAAATGTAGCTGAGCAAAGAACCTCAAGATGGCCTCATCCTGGTTTTATGTTGGCCCTTCAGTGCAATAAAAAGTGTCCTTATAAGAGACAGGCCAAGGGAAATCAGAGACAGAGACCCAAAGAAAAGGTCACGTGTGACAAAAGCAGGACGGGACTGATGCAACCACTAGCCCAGGAATGCCCAGAACTCTGTGGCGACCAGATGCTACCAGGAGACCAGGACTAGCCCCCTTCACAGCTTCAGAGGGAAGCCACAACCTACACTTACATTTCTGACCTCCAGAACGAAAAAAAATTTCTGTTGCCCAAAAGCCCCTGGTGCCTGGCCATTTATTACAGCAGCCCTAGGAAGCTAATACACTTTCCAGGCCCAGGCTTCCCAGGCATGAAGGCTATAAGAGGTGCAGGGTCTGAGGATAAGAATGCATCCCAGCCAGACACCATAGCAGCACTAGAATTCCATGTCTTCTGTCACAAAACTAAGGGAAAGGGCAGCACAGAACCCTGCCCACAGGACCAGCCACCTTCACCTGGGTTCACCTAGATGTGGCTGGCCATATTACCACCCATCAAGAAGCATAAGATTAAAGGAGACCTGGGAAAGAAAAAAGCAGCACTGGCAGATCTGTGACCTCATGAGGGCCACATGGGGTAGAAGCAGGGCCCCAGTGTTGCCAGGGAGGGAGACATACCAGTCAGGGGCCCTGTCAGAGCAGCTGGGCCTTCACAGAGGACAGAGACAGAGAGGAGGGGAGCCACTTTTCAGAAACCTCATGCCCAGTTCTGAGGTGAGCTGGCAGCTCCCAACCCCCAGTGAAAGCAGAACAGCGCACGCCAGCACACGCAGAAGGCCAGCGCAAGCAGCTTACCTCACTAGGAGGTGCTGTGTCCAAAAAATCTAGCATGACGCCATTCCACCCACCTGGTCACTGGAGGAAACATCTGCTACACAACAGATGCCCAAGAAGTTCTCTCCCAAAGGAAACACATTCTGTTGATTTCTACCAGATGCAGACAGATACCCCTTACCAGCAGTGACCACCAACAAGAAGCCCATGGGTGATGTGCTGTCAAGGACTCTCATGATTACAGCTCAGCCTGGCTGGCCCCTTCAGGGGTCTAGACTGGTGGGTATAGGTGGAGCTGACTGGGAGGTGACATGGAGGAAACACAAGAGAGAATACTGGGTCTGTTCCAGAGGGCCAGAAACACAGAGGGCGAGTGTTCTCGAAAAGGCAGAATACTCAACACAAGTGTGAGGGGAATGAGGTATGGGGAGAAGTCGCCATCACACAGTCCAGAGAACCCCCCACCTGAAAGGAGGACACAGAGTCCATGGTGAAGAGGCAAGGAGAGGGTGAGACCCACAGTGCCCAAGGTGAGGACACAGAGCAGACAGCAAAGACAATCTTGCAAGTAGAGGTCCCCGTGAGTGAGCCCAGAGCCCATGTGAGAAAAAGAGGTCACAGTGAGGTCAAAGAACACAATCTCAACTCACACCAACTCTTCTGTCCCGGGTATGCTTGCTCTCTAGCCAGCCCCCTGGGTGTCCACATGTGCTCAGACACAAGCCCTAGGCCTGTGCACTGTCTTTGTTAGATAGAAACTGCACTGAGACTTCATTGGACTATTTTTATCTTGAGGAAGCTGCTGCCAAAGATCTAGCACTGGGTCACTGCAGGGCTGGCCAGCAGACAGAAACTACTCACAGGACTCTACATGTGCCCTGCAGTGGGAAAACTGCAGCCCATGCCAGAACCCCCACCCCCATCAGGGTCACAAAGAGAAATAGCCCAAAACCTGTGGTCCCAAGTACAAAGGAGGAGGAGGCAATGATGGCCAGTCATCTCACAGGCCCGTCCTCATGGTAGAACCAGACCCACTAGTGCCTTCTGTCTGCAGTGGCCTGAGGGAGAGAAGAGGCCCAGCCAGTGTAAGCCAGGCTTCTCACTGCAGAGCACACACATGCAGGCAGGCAGCTCACATGACCAGGCTGACCCAGAGCCAGGAGCACTGACAAGCCATCAGGACAGAAGCTCCCACTGAGCGATATAAATGAAGCAGGTGGTACCTCTCCCAGACGAAAGGTGCTCAGGGGGCCACAGTGGAGATCTGTGCAAGGTACAGGTCCATTCCATCCAGGATCATCCCTGGAATCTGTGGGCAGCGGGTCTCCAAGTGTGGCCCTGGCAGCAAGAGCTGCAGGCCTATCTAGGTACTGATTGAGAGTACAATGTTTCGGCTGCTTTCCCTCTCTCTCACCAAGGAGTCAGGGCTTCTGGAGGAGGGCCACAGAAGATGTATTTTTCCAAGTCCTCTAAGTGATTTGACGTGCACTAGAGTTTGAGACTTGAGATGGTTTAATTTGAAACCAGAAAACTAATCCCAAATTTCCCGTGTGAGTGGCCTAGATCGTGGTGAGCAGGAGCTTTCAGGGTTCATCGCCCCACAGAACACAGACTGAGACAACCACCCACAGGTGAAATAACAAAGATCAACGGAAGTTAAGAGCTAGGCTTTTTTTTCTTTTCTTTTTTTGAAGCATAAACAAAATTGACAAACCTCTAGCTAGACTAAGAAAAAGAGATGACTCAAATAAAATAAGAAACGAAAGAGGAGAAATTAGAG